CTGTTGGCCAACCACCACACAGTGGTGACTGACAGGGAACGGAAAGCCACAGCTGTGATAGATGTGGCAATCCCAGCAGACAGTAACATCAGAAATAAGGAGGATGGGGTAAAGGAGAAGTACAGGGCACTGAAGGAAGAAGTGGAGCGAACGTGTAGGAATAAAGCACAAAATGTCTCAGTGGTAATAGGAGCACCAGGAACTGTGAACTCCCAAACTGGAAGAGTGCAATAGGAACAGGATACCCACACACACCACCTCTGAGCTGAACAGCTCAGCTCACAAGTCTTTTTTCAGCGTCCTTCTTCCTGCCAGGCCTGTGGCTGAGCAGCCTGATTGGAGGGCAGCAGTAGAGTTCCTGCAGCCCTCTCCGGACTCACAGCTCTGCTCCCACAGATCCGCTTCCTCTACCCAGAATTCAGCAGGAAGCCTCGAGCTCCCCAGCTGAGCTCATGAGAGCTGCATCAGATGAGCGTGGCTCTGGTATGAGTGGAGTAACAGGAAATAATTGTGTTGCTCAACATTTTCTCACAGCTATTAAACTCCAGTGTGAACATAACCGAGAAGCCACGGGATTTCATCATCACACATGATCAGTCACACCTTTTACTGTGGAGCGTGTGATGAAGAAATACTCAAAGGTTTTGATTTTACTGTAAAAACACACTTAAATATCCAGAGATGACATTTCTAACTAATCTTAGATTCTCACTGACTCCAGTCCAACATGCTTTCACTGCCTGACCAAACTTTTGGACATTTCAAGTCATTTCAAGTCACTTTATGTGTTAAATATGAAATAATTCTTATGACGATGATACTTTTTTGCACAGCGCTGTGGGAGCTTTATGTGGCTGCAGTAAGGAAATCAGATTTCACCAGACTACGTCATGCTCATCTGTGGCTCACACCTGCTCGAGGGCTGCAGCTGATAGGTAAGTTGGTTGATCATGTGACATAAAATGGGTGTCACAGATGTCATGATGTAAAAAACGTCCCGTCTTTACCACAGACCCTGAATGCTGCATTTCTACAGGGCGAGGACAACCTGGACGGCTTTACCTGCGCCAGGCTGACACAGCGTCCACACCCAGCGGGACACGCTCAGAGATTTAGCAGCAGACGGTCGTGAGTTGACTCACCTGAACAGGTACGAAAACCACAACTGATCCAGCAGCCGTTACTGGGACGAGACCAGTACCGGTTACTGGGTCTGCTCAGTGTGTGAGTGCTTAAACTGAAGTGGCCGTGGGTGTGTAGGCTGTGTGA